AAATCGCTGCTGGGTTCCCAACAGCAGCGAATCGCTGCTGGGGACAGCGGCGAAATCGCTGCTGTCCCCAGCAGCGATTCGCTGCTGCTGGGAGGGGGAGGGAAGGAGAAAGGCGGAGGCGCAGCTGCGGTGAGGAAGAGATAGAGGCGGTGAGGAAGAGGGTAGAGAGGGAGACTAGAATGTAGAGGAGGAATAGAATAGAAATGATTTAGGTTTTGTTTGGGATTAGGGTTATGTCTTAATATATATACCTGATTTTTTATTAAACAAACTTTGCACCTGATTTTTAAAAAGTAAACTTTAAACCCCTGATTTTTTATAATTTCCCAAACAGGAAAGGGCAGAGGCAATGGAGATTAAAAGGAGCAAGTATAAAAATTGTACTTTCAAAATTATCAGTGATGAGCTTGGTGCATGAAGATAATCTTAAAAGTTCTTATGAAACTTTATTAATTGCTTATGATTGTAATGTTGGTGATATTTGGTATTTCGACAGTGAAACTAGAAGACATATGATTGGAAACAATAATTTTATTTTCAAATCATGTGACAATTGGAGATACTAAATCGTACAAAATTCTAAGTGTTGGAGACATTGCTTCGAAAGAAAATCCAGGTAGTTTGAGAGTATTTCTAGAGTTGGGCAGCAAAGTATTTGTTTAGTGTTCGCCATGTAATGACGAAGGGTTCAACATTCATTTTTCTAAGAATATTGCATCGTGAAGAAAATCACCTTGTTGCAATTATTGTTTTGAGCTTGGATAACATATATCCTGTCAAATTATATATTTTAAGTACTAATTGCTTTCTTACTACTAATCAAGAGATTTTCAAGGTGTGGCGTGACAGATTTGGTCATCTTAACTTTTAAATTTTGAAGTTGTTATCAAACAAAAATATAGCTCAATGTGAAAGTTACTAGTTGGACTCTAAAATCACATAATAGCTGAATACTGCGAAATTAAAATTATCAATTAAAAGGAACAAGTCATTTTTTTTATTTTTCTAAATGTTTAGTCAATTTTATCTTATCTTGAATTTTCCCAATAATAAATAATGCAATAAATAGCACAAGATTTGATAACGAAAAAAATCCTTCACTCGGTAAAAACTCCGAGACCAAGCCAATAACTTCCACTATAGACAATAAGAACTTATAGTAAGATCTAGCCTAGAAAATCTACTAGACTCGCTGATCTAATTCATACAATCTCCAAGACCCACTAGAACATGCTTCACTCACACATATTCCCGATCTTCTAGAGTTGTCTATCTCATGGGAATTACCAAGAGCACCTTGTTCTTGTACTCTTCTTGTGCTTGCAGTCTAACCTCCCTCAATTTTTAGCAACCTAAGAAAGTACACTCCTTGTGATATCTAGGAAGTGGGTGGATTATAAGAATTTGATATTTTTTCCAACTTGTTGATTGATCTCAAGAATCAAAAGTTTAATCTCAATATTTGAATGTGTTCTTAGATCTTGGATTGATGTAATGAGGATGTAAACTAATGAATAACCACACAGAAAAGTGTATTGGACTTTTGATATTTATAATAAGAGGTATTTAGGTAGTATATAACGTAAACTATGATTTCTCGAAAAACACCGTCGCTCGAGCGCTAAACTAGCGACAGGCAAGCGAGAGGTGTGTTGCTCAAGCAAGAGATGGG